TAAGCCTGCCACCTTTAGGTTTCATTAGATGCTTCCATATTGTTGTGTAGCAGACAACTAAAAATCCTTGTTTCTTGCCTCCTGTGTTGGAATGGGCACAGAGAAACCAGGAGAACTGGTGCACACTAAGAAAAAGCATCTCACAGCCTGGAAGCACCACTAGCAGACCATTTTTTAAATCCAGAAAGCATCAATATCTCTGTGGTACTGTGTAACTAATGATAATAAACTGCTCCTGAATAGTCCAGAAAAAACACAGTAGGCACACGTTTAAAATCAAGAGCAATTTTTTTCTAACACAATTAACAAAAACAAACAAACAAAAAACAAACAAACAAAAAAAAACCCCCACCCTCACAGAGGTTATCAATGTTCATCAACCGAAAAGGTGTAGTTTTTTTTCCTTTCACTAAAGAAAACATGATGTTCAAATTGGAGAAAAGGCTACTTTACCAAGGCAAAATTTATCTCTTCTGGAACAGACCCCCCTTTCTTCAAACCTCAGGCCCAAGCCAGCACTTCTTAAAGAAAAAAATACTGTCCCTCCCACTGCAGGAATCAAACCTGTTTCACTCGAGGACAGATGATGTGAATGGTCTTTTACAGGCCTTATCTCATTTTTTTTTTTCCCAAATTTCTTGAAATACAGACACTCTCCATCTCTATCATTCCCAGCCTCTACAAGGCTCATTAAGTTCACAGATGTTCTGAAGGTGTCTTTTTCAGACAGTGCAGTCTATGAAATATGAGTCACTACATCCACACTTATTGCAAGTGCTCATCCCAGGCGTTTGCTGTGCGAGAGCAAGGAGTCAGACCTGCATGGGAAGAACGTCGCTGCCCCATGAGACAATGGGACAGGAGAATTCCTCTCATCCAGCTTTATTGCTCTTGGACAAAGGTCAGGCAAAAATTTGTTTACTTTAATTCATGTCTTCTGTGTTTTACTTTTGGCCCATGAAACAGTGGAAACCACAGCAGAAGAAAAATTCCTAATTTATACTCTGGAAAAGGCCTTACTTCAAGCAGATTTCTATGGGAATCCTTGAGGATAGATTCTTTTTTTTTAGTTGTAAGTTGCTCTTGCAGAGAAAAAAAAAAAGAAAAAAAGCAGGTGATTTAAAGAGAGACTTCTCACATAAGGAATAGCTCAAGCAGTACTGATAAAAGCTTTGGCATTATTCCTCCTGGAGACTCATTCTAGTGTTTTACTATCCAAAATAACCCTTGGGACTTTTGCACAGCCTGAGCATGGGGAAGGACTCATTGAATCATAAAATGTCTAGGTTGGAAAAGACCTTTTAAGATTACTGAGTCCAACTGCTAACCTAACACTGCCAAGTCCACCTCTAAACCATGTCCCTAAGCATCACAATTACAAGTCTTTTAAATACCTCAGGGATGGTGATTCCACCACTTCCCTGGGCATCCTGTTCCAATGCCTGATAACCCTTTTGGTGAATAAATTTTTCCTAATATCCAATCTAAACCTCCCCTGGTGCAACTTGGGGCCATTTCCTCTTGTCCTATCGCTTGTTACTTAGGAGAAGAGACTGAGACCCACCTCCCTACAACCTCCTCCTTTTAGGTAGTTGTAGAGAGTGATAAGGTCTCCCCTCAGCTTCCTTTTCTCCAGACTGAACAACCTCAGTTCCCTCAGCTTCTCCTCATAAGACTTGTGTTCCAGCCCCTTCACCAGCTTTGTTGCCCTTGGACACACAGAGCTCAAAGTGCAAACACACTGCACCAGCAAGGGCAGCCTCTGGTCCACACTGTGGCTGTAACTCTTGGCTGACATATCAACAACTCACTACTCAACATGCCTGAAGACATTCCTCCTTTCTGCCCTCACCCTGACCTCACTCTCCTTATTTTGGCTTCTTGGAGAAACATTCGGTAGGGCTAACATGCAAGAACTGCTGCTTCAGTAGGTGCCAGCCCAGGTTATTATGTTGGACAAACTCAAGCCAAAGAGGTAAAACAGATGAAGTGATGGCGGACTGTCAAATACATTAAAATGCCTGAAGGTCCAGGCAGGCTTGCTGGAGGAGGTCCAAAAGCACCCAGGCACTTCAGTCCCATGGTGTACTTCAGCAGTTCTGTGAAACCTTCTGTAAGGACAACTGGGCTTCCTAGATTCAATCATTCTCCAGACTCACCCGTACCTGGCTGACACCATTTTTAAAGCTGACTTTACATTAATCAAAGGTATCTTACCTGGAAGACTGGAGTTGAGACTCTTAGCTCCACCCTTCTGGCAGCTGTAACTCACCTCACTCTCCATCAGCCTTCAGCACTCAGCAGGAGAGCAAGACTTTTCCCACACTGGATTTCAGCCACTGCTACCGACTGCTTCCCCAGTTGACTCCTCCCTAGCTACAAAGAAGCAAACAGAAACACAACCTGTCTGTCCCTAGTGCTGAGGGCCAAAAACAGTGAGGGGGGGAATTTCAGCCTGGCAGATCTAAGATTTGGAAGGTAAGTTCTCCATTTCAGATATAACCAAAACTGCCATGATTTACCCAACTGTAGAACTAGAGAAGTGGTAAGAAACCTCAGCCACAACTGCTGCCCTTCAACAGCTTTTGTGAAGCTATTTCCCCAGCTGAGTCTCCGTCACACCACTTTCAAAATCTAAGCTTGCTTCAGTAAGGGAGCAGGCTGTTTCCATGAGATATGCTACATTCACATGCCCTTACGTGCTCACAAAGCAGCTGAAACACCACCTCGCATCTGGGGGAAGCAAGTTAAGGAAGGAAAAAAAAAAGAAAAAGAAAGAAAGAAAAGCTTCCCATAAAGCAAACAACGCCCACCCAGCCTGGAAGCATGCCTACAGCTAAGCTCATGTTAAACAACCATTGCTAAGTTTCTCTTACTAAAGAAAAAGATGGTACTTTGCTTCCTGGGAAAAAATGCTGGGCCTTTGAAAGGCTCATTAAGCTTGCAGGTGTTCTGGAGATGTCTTGGCTCCAGCACCGCAGTGAATATCCCGCACTGACTCTTCCCTTGTTACTCAAGTGCTGGATTAAAGCTTAAAATGGGGAAGGGAGATCATGTCATACATGGAGACCCTGGGAGAAGAGATGGATGCCACAGAGACTGCCACAGAGGTGCTCTCCTAATGATGTCCATTTGGACACTGACAGGGGAGGCAAAGTACAAATAGCTGTACTGCAAAGGCACCCAAGAAATAATGTGGCTTGTCAAAGAAACAGAGAGTTTATCTCAGCACAGTAGCCAACGCCACCCAGCAGCAGGGAGCTGTTTGTTTGTCAATACTGAAGGGAGGCAAGTCACAGCTGTGACCTGTGTTGTAACTGAAGTGACATTTTTCCTCCAATCTAAGGGAAAGGAGCAAAGACCAATATTTTCACTGTGGCTAATCCATCACTGGTAGATTGGCCTCATTGAAGACCCGTTCAGAGCAGTTTCATTGCTGCCTAAAAACCTTTTCATTTAAGTGCAGCCATTTAAGGCACCTTCCCTTGAATTGGCATTTCTGGGCTTTGCTGGTGGGGTTCTTCCTCCCCCATCAGAAAGAACCCTTTCATCTTCAACTCCACCATGACAGGCACCACATTTACCTCCATGTTACTTCAGGAAGCTTCCCAAGGCAGCCTGCATAGGGTTCAGTTCAGCCTAAACAAGGGTTTCTAGCACCATTTTAGGTGCCAGACTCCCAGCTGCTGTGACAGAAGGCTGCGCGTCTCCTCTGCGTCCTGCCTCATCCGTGCCAGCACATATGGACGTGTCTCATCACTGGGGACAGCTGACGGGGGCACAAGACCCTGATAACCAGGCACCTGGCCAGCTCCCTCCATGTCCTCCTTCACAGGATGACATCATTAATAATCCACCGCTCCTTCCTGAAGCATTTCTCCCTTGTATAAAATATCCCACATGATCTGATCTGAAGTTATGGAATGTCTTCTGGCAGCACTGAGTCTGTCATCCAGGTCATTTATCATAAATTATGGCCAACATGAATATTGATATTGCAGAGGGAGATCATGATATGCAACCTAAGGATGGGGGTGGGGAGGGGTGTAGAAAAAGCAAAGCCATTCTGAAATACATAAGTATTTGAATCCTAAAGAACAAACATGTGAAAATATAATGGAAAAGGGAAGGATTAGGCAGCAAGGTTTGGTGCATATTTCTCTGAAATTGCTGTTAAAGACTGATGCAGAGGTAGGCATCTCCAGCAAACAAGCTGTTAAGCAGGCTTCAGTCAATCAGCTCCATGAAGAGAAGAGGATTGCTGGATAGAGCTAGCCGCAAATTCTCTCTCTGAGCATTTATATCCTTGCTGTGTTAACCCCCAGCCAGACTGGAATTTTCCAGTGCAATCAGTCATGTGCTTGTTTTTAGGTGCCTCTGCGAGATCCTTCAAAACTTAGGTCCCCCCAGACTCTTAAAATAAAGCTTCAGGAAAACAAAATAGGATCTTTTTGAGGACTCAAGCCAGATGTTGAAAGGACAAGCATGTAGAATCACCAAACAATTTTTAAAGCCTCATCTGAAATCCTCCTTTAGACTCCAACATATGCACTTACGGCTTCTAGCAAAGGAAAAATGCGAACAACAAAACCATGGAATATTGTCTAGGAAGCACATTGTAGGAGACCAGTGAATCAGATGTGCTGTCACTGCTTTAGTGTCAATTACTGCATTTGTAGCTGATCAGTTTGAGAGACTGATCTGCATACAAAACCCATACTACACCATCTCATCTGTAAACAGTTTTGAAGCAATCAGGCAGCACAGTTAAAAGGGAGGTGTCCTTCACCACACATTACTGTCTTTTAAGCATTAACAACCAAATTTAAATTTATGTCAAGTATTCATACAAAAGGACTAAACTCTGTAAGGCCTTAACAAACAAAATGAGAAAAAATAGAACATTTATCTTAAATCGTTAGGACTAGTGCAAAGCATTAGGTTTATGTTACTACCATTTCTGAACTCTCAATTTCCCTTTCACCCAGCCCTTTATTTACCTTGAATCCCCAAAGGACTAATATTGCCTCTCACTGCTGGCACATGATGGTACCGGTGTGGCCTTGAACTCCTGTACATCCAGTGGTACCTGCCAATTTCCATTTCTGGTCTGGTGATCACTGCCAATTTTAGGTGGTAAAAAGTCAGTGTCACCAGCAAGTTTTAGTTCAGTACTTTCAGTCATTTAACTTTAAAAATAAGAGCCCAGAAAAACACGCTGTAGTTTCAGAACTGAAACAACATAAACTTACCAAACCAAGGGAGGGGGTGGGAGGTACTATCGACAGGGAAATGTTCACACAGGTGTTTATAAAGGTTGAATAGCTAAAACTCCACCTAGGATTTGAATTAAACATGTAGGGAAGGATGTGTTTACTCCTACTCCTTCCCCCCACCCACCCTTTTTTGTCCATGGCACAGAGCTCTGCTCCAGAAGTAAAGGAAAACAAAATAACGGAAAACCACATTACCTGTTTTTCAAAAGACTCAAAATCTGTCAAAAAAAAAGGTTATTGTCACATGTAGACGTAGGGCAAACATATGAGTTTGCACCACTGCTTTCTTACATGACAAAGAAGTCGTGGGCTTTATTTCACACAGGTTCTGCTCACATCCAAAAATCTGGACCAAGTATGCTAAAACAGATTTATTTTGGGTTTACAACGAAGGAGAACAGTTATCCTTTCTCCTCATCTTTTCAGAGGGCAGATGAAGCTCAGCAATGAGACCCCCCACACAGGAACACACCTGACCTGCTCACACACTCTGCACGCTCACTGGCACAGGGCTTCCGAGCCCCCTGAAAGAGGCCACTGGCAAAACAACATCAAACCACTTTCGATCCTACATGTCCCCTCTTGGCACCGCTACAGCTTTGTCCGTCTGTCAGGGTGAGACGGACAGATCTTTATTTAAAACACACCAGAGTCCCACTCTGCAGTGACTAAATTAAAAAGTAACCATAATCTCTGACCAAAATAAATCTGATTTAAGCAGCATTTCAGCAGGTGGAGGAAGTAAAGGTTACAATGCTGAGAACTCATCTATCATAGACTAGATCAGAGACAAATTCTGGGGGGCAGAGGGAG